AAATGTTTTTCCACGTGTTATCACACATTACACCGAAATCGCCTGAAACGATTAACGAGTCGTCAGGATCTGTCGAGTTTAGGATTGTCATGGCGACAACTATTAGAGTTTTGTGTCAACAGGTTTGAGTGCAGTACGGGCTCTAGGATTGTTTGCATCGTAGTTGAGGACTAAGAACTTGAAATTTAAAGGCTTCTCGAAATACCGATGTGAGATGGCATTTTGAAAATTTTCTAATGCGAAACACTGTTAGCGATTCAGCAAAATTCCGCATTTCAGCATATTTAACTGAAATGAGTAATCATGAATGGAGGAACATCTATGGGAAATCACACACATAACTTAAGCACAGTAAGACAATTCTCGAGGTGAATTAGCTTCTTTCAAAGAACTGAAGATGTGCCGAAAAAAAAACAAGAATTCTTGAATAACGTGATAGATTCTCTTGAAAGAAGACGGAGTTTACGAAAGACATTTAGTCATTTAGCATAGGATAGAAATGGCAAACGAGTAGAGCATTCATGGTGTGACGTGTAATGCATCTTAGCGTATATACTACGATGAGATCAGCAGGCCAGAGTGAGCATCACTGTTTGAAAATTAATAATATGCACAGAAAAGGTTGCCGTATGTGGCTCATGTTCTGTTTTTCTCTTTTGTGGAGAGCATGTAACTTGAAAAAAATAAAGCCTGCATTTCCTTCCGGCAGCCATGAGTCAGGCTTCGTATCAAAATCTTTAATAGTGTTCCGTCAGCGCTTCTGAATGCACATGCATGCTACTCTTTCCTTCGATCAACTAAAAATTGAGTGAGGAAGTTCGTGAACGTAACCATACAAGAACGGTTGCAACTGTAATGGCAAATTGCTCAAGCTGAACATCACTTCATCCTTTTCTTTAGAAGAAGCCTTTGAAATCTCAGTTCATTCCACCCAGCAGCCAGTAGAAACACTATCAATACCACTTAGTTAAGTTCAATGCTTGGTAACCACTCATTTGTAAGTTCACGTTCTCCAGTAATTTACAAACTACGTTAAAACTAATAAACTAACGGCTGTCATACTGGTTTTTATCCCTAACTGCAGAACAAACGAAGTTAATTTCAGTTAGTAAGAAAAGAACAATCCTAATGACCCCCTCAACATCCAGAACTAAGAATTAGCTCCTTACTCGTTCGAGAAATCAATTGTTCTTATGAGAAAATAGCTATAGTACAATATCCTCATGCATGCCGTGGCTGACGCATGTTCTGTCTGTGTGTTATGGACTACACCCCTTTCTCCTTGACCTACACTGCACGATTACCCAATTTTGTGCTATCTCGTGGTGGACCGTTGAGGTTGATATGCCGAAAAAACAAGAGATCTTGAATAAGGTGATCGGTTCTCTCAAAGAAGACGGAATTTACGAAATACATTTAGCAGCATTTGCTGAAGAGCTCGTTTCTGCTAATAGGACAGATTGCACCGAACAAATTTACGATTGTTGATCGGATGCAATGTTGCATCATCTCTCCTTGCCAATTCCCTATATCTTTCCTTACAAACGTAATTTCTTTACTAATTATTCCTTGTGCGCTAGTGTGAAGTATTATGTAGTTGAATGGATTGAAACATTCACCGATTGATAAAATTTTGCACAGAAATTACGACACGAATTGCTAGTGAAATTGACGTTTCAGGTTTCTTTTAACGACTATGATTGTTCTTGCGTCCTTTTTTATTATTTACTTTCATCGATTTTATTGACAATCGATGGATACAGTGATATCAGATCGCTGTCAAATCAGTTTCCTGCTCTAGAAACTCATCTCCGTTCGTCATTCAGCAACGCATTTATGTTTTCGTTTCTCGGTCACTAATATTAATCAGTTTTCCATAATTGGGTGACTTCGGACTTCTGAAACTTGATGATACAGAGTCACAGTCTCCCCGTAAATTCGCGAATTGTATCGTTTGATGATGTCGTGCTCTCTCTGATATGTTGATCAATTTCCGTCTGAATTAAGGGTATCAAAAGCATTTTGACGCGTAAAGCATTAAAAGTGGAAAGGTTACGAATATGACGGATCTAATGGACAGTGCAACGGAGCCGACATCTACTGATGAACACCAACTGAATGGGATTATTCAGAAGGATTTGGTGCTTAATGAGAAGACGTCAAATGAGCCGAATGATGGGAGCGAGGATATGGTTACACCTTGGGACGTTGCGGCATCAAGCGCCAAAGGCATTGATTATGATAAGCTGATCGGTGCGTTTCATCTCTGCATTCATCATTTTATCCTTATTTCTCATTCACTGTATTCAAGTTTCGAAGTTTTTACATACTTTGTATAATTGAGCGGTGCAAGCCAAAATCAGGGCAATTTGAAATCATGAGAGAGCCTCTTGGTTTGTTTAGAAATTGCAACGCCGAGAAAAGTAACCATTTTTTACTGCAATTTGCTTATATTGATTGTGTAGGAATTTTAAGAGAAATTCGGTTGCCGTAAAGTGGATCAAAGTCTTATCGATCGATTTGAGAAAGTGACCGGTAAGAAAGCGCATCCGATGCTCAGAAGAGGACTGTTTTTTGCTCACAGGTTTGCTTCACTCTTTTTCGTCGACGATTACAATTTGCTCGGTCTCTTTGACATTTTTTTTNTTTTTTTTCTTTTTTCCTGGACATTCCAAGCTAATTCATCAGTCTATATTTATTGGAGGCTGCAGTGTTCGTTTAGTTATCATGTGATTTGCTTCAACTAGTTGCTGTGTTCCTTAGATTGTTATGTTCGTCCTTCGATCAGAAGCAATCTAAGAAATTTAATGATGTTATTGATGTTCTATTAAAATTGCCAATTTATTCAAAATATCCTCACACTCATACGTGAAGGCACTATTGATCCTATTTCACTCTTCTTTGCCTACAGTGTCCATTTGTCTCGAATTTCAGAGACTTATCGCAGATTTTGGATCGTGTTGAACAGAAGAAGCCATTCTTCATTTATACGGGTCGAGGACCGAGTAGTGGTAGTCTGCATCTTGGTCATCTGATTCCATTTCTTTTCACTAAGTTTCTTCAAGAAGCCTTTGATGTACCTCTGATAATACAGGTTCATCGTTTTATCTTCACAAAACAGCTTATTTCCATTGTTTATCTTCCATTCCAATTAACAACTATTAAATGTATTCTTGAATCGTTGTATATATTTCGGGGCTTTTTAGGCACTTGTATTTGAACGAATTGCTTGGTTTCGCTTATTTCAGCCGCTACAAAAGTTTTGGATGAATGTGTTGAGATTTTAGATAACTGATGATGAGAAATTTCTGTGGAAAGATATGAACGTGGATCAAGCGCGTAAGATGGCGAATGAGAATATGAAAGATATAATTGCGTGCGGCTTTGATCCCGAAACAACATTCATGTTCACAGATACCAAATATATGTGGTAAGTGGTTAGCAGGGTTGCTGGTTGGTCATAACGCATAAGCCCTAGTCAGTTTTGTTCAGTTATCGCTGTGAACCTAGCCGTGTTTTTGTTTCGCTGTTTGAGAAATTTGAAGTAAGATAATTTAGTTGAATGGCGAAAGAGACCAAAATTCAGTTTGTAGATGAGACTGAGCCTAAGGCGGTGGAATAATATTAAGTTCAAGTTTGATGTGAATTGGTAGTTGAGATTCAAACTCCTTCAATGTGAAGGACGTAAGTGGAGCGCAAAATTAGACAGCTAAGGAAATGGTTCGGGTGCAGCGACGCTGTGTTTGCTGAGTATCTTCGTTGATGAGTAATTTCAGTCCGGCATTTTACGAGAACGTTTTGAAAGTATGGAAATTGGTAACGTATAACCAGGCACGAGCCATATTTGGGTTCACAAATGAGGATTCAATTGGCAAAGTGGCATTTCCAGCTATTGAGGCGGCACCCTGTTTCAGCAGCAGTTTTCCGCATGTTTTTGCTGGTCGAAAAGATATTCCTTGCATTGTTCCGGCAGCCATTGATCAGGTTTGGAAAATTTTTTGATTCATTCATCTATTTGTTTTTGTGGTGGTGTTGTTGGAGTATCGCAAATAGCGATCGTC